TGAGCGGCTGTCCAGAAGCCGGCGACTGATCTGCCTCGCCCAGGAAGAGCGCAATGATGGTGCCAACTTGGGCCAGTGAAGCAACGTCCTCCACAACTAAATTGAAGAACAAAACGACAGCAACTTGTCTGTTCCCCTTCCCCCAATTCCCCAGCACTGTTGCCATCCCCCCAATTCCTCAATGAAAAATATTTTTAAAAAAAATAAGCATAGTGACATACACTACAGCATAGTGAATATAGTCAATAATATTCTAATAATTATATACCATCTCAGATGGATAATACACTTATTCGGTGACCACCTTGTGACTTATATAAATGTCTATGACTATGTTGTTCTGTACACCAGAACCTAATAAAAAAAAGTAATTGACTTTTGTAAAATAAATAAATAAATAAAGCCAATGAAAATAAATTCAAAACTTCTAAACAAAATATTAGCAAAATGAATAAGCAGATTATATAAAAGGCTAAGTTATAATAACCAAGTTGGGTTTTATGTAATATGTATTTAACATTCTAAATCAACCAAAGAAATAATTCACAGGAATAAAAACATTATTTAATTATTTCAATAGTGAAAATTACTTGATGTATAATAAAAATTAAGTCATATTTAAAAAGTAAATTTTTAGCAAATCAAAAGTATGAGAAAAGCTTCCTCATTCTTGTAAAGAATAAATGCTACAAACACCATCTTTTCATCAAAATCACAGGAAAATATTACTTCACAAATACAGCCACTAAGATGACTTACTCAAAAAGACAGAAAATAAAAAAAGTTGGTGAGACTATAAAGAAATGAAAGCTTCTTACACTTTTATCAGTGTGTGAAATAGTGCAGCCACAATGGAAAAAGGTCTGAAAGTTCTTCAAACCATGAAACATAAAATTATCATATGACCCAGCAATTGGACTCCTAGTATATGTGACACAAAAATTTGTCCATAAATGCTCATAGCCAAGAAGTAAAAACAACCCAAATTAGCATCAACTGAAGAACTAAAAAAAAAAAAAAAAAAAAATATTCATACTGTGAGCTATTATTGGGCATTAAAAACTAATGAAGTACTGAGACACGCAACAACATGGGTGAACCCTGAAAACAAAAACTGGGTGAAAAAGCTGGTTCCAAGAGGTCACATATTAAATGATTCCATTTATAAGAAATGTCCAGATTGAGAAAAATCTATAAAGACTGCTATGGTCTAAATGTTTGTGTCACTCCAAAATTTATTAATTGAATCTTAAACCTTAAATGTGATGGTGTTAACAGGTGAGGCTGTTGGAATGAGTGCTTAAAAGGGGTCCAGGGAGTTCCCTGTCCCCTCCCAGCATGTGAGCACACAGCAAGAAGGCACCATCTAGGAACCAGTAAGTCCACCTTCACTAGACACCAAATCTGCTGGTGCTTTGATCTTGGACTTCTCAGCCTCCAGAACTGTGAGAAATAAATTTCTACTATTTATAAGCTACCCAGTCTATGGTACTTTGCTATAGCAGCTGAATGACTAACAGATAAAATAAATGAGTCGTAACATAGAAGGAGTATCATGGGGCGGGGGGAGGTGGCATGGTGAGTAACTGCTGATGGGTGGGGGTTCCTTTTTGGGGACATGAAACATTCTCACATGGACTGGGTGATGTTTGCACAACTCGGTGAATATACTAAAGGCCATTGAATTGTATGTTTAAATGTGTGAATTGTATAACATGTGAATTATATCCCAATGAGGGTATTATGTAAAAAGAAACACACAACACCAAAAAGTTCCAAAATGTTAATTAGTTCCTGAACTCACTCTGGACTCTCCACACTACCTGAATCCTACAGTGCTGAACACTAGATCAAAAGTTGTATTGTTGGTCGGACTTTTGTATTATAGAACTGGACAGCATAATGACTCTTACATTACTTTTTTCTTTTAGAAATCCCAATACTTCTTTCATTTATATATTTATACCAGCCTTGAATTACTATTATGACTTTGTAATCTGGCACATAGTAGATCCACATTGAAGATGTATTAGATTAATTAAGACTGCATGTCCGCCACACCATACACTGCCATATTCTCATAAGCAGGCTTGTCTTATCCTAGATTTGTGAATTTTTCTTTTTTGGAAGGATGGGGAGTGAGACTTGGCCTGCCATGTATTGGAGTTTTGTCCACAGGTATAATTCTGCATTTACCTTCATTGCTGGATACTTTTGTTCCATTTGTTTTCCAGAAAATCAGAAGCTTTTATTTGGCATAATATTGAGAGTCTTCCCATATAACATCTTCCAATAAATATTAATTTACACATTCACCAAAAAAAAGTATTATTAAGTGCTTAGTCTCTGCCAAATCCTAGGCCAAGCAATGAAAAATGTGGGCTTCAGGAGCTGTCTTCGAATGTGGGAAAAACAAGACACTAAAGAAAGTAATAGGAATTTCATTGAGGGAGGATTTTAGAACTGTTTCTGTGTAGTTTAGCTCATATAAATAGTTCTAAAATCCCCACGTGACTGAAAATAATTTAGTTTTAGGGTTTGGTAGTAGAAAGCTCTTTACTGAGCCTTGCCACTAGAGGGACGGAAGTAGCAGATATGAGATATCTATCCTTAGACTTGAGACTCTAACCTTGAAAAATTGCTGACTACGGTTTAGTTGCAAGTTAAGGAGTTCATATGTACAGTCGCTAGATGGAGCTGTTACAGCAGCAAACCATGGCTGCTTCCAGGGCGAGGATGAGTTTATCACTAACATGTCTAAGAACTTACTTTCATTTCCTTGTCATCTTGTACTTCATATTGTCACTTCAATGATATGAGTGAGCCCCTTCCCAAATGCTGAGCAAAGAGCCAACCCCTCGTGGGAAGAGAAGATAGAAGTGACTAATAGTTTAATTTTAACTGGCCAAATATTTGCTGCTATACTGAAGTAATAAGCTTAGTTATTGTAGCAGAGAAGGACGAATAATTTTAATTTTATCCTCTCCCATTTTGTTAATAACAATAATTTATTTCTGTTTATTCTCACCCTTCTTGTCAAATATCTTCATTTCATTTCCCTTTCCAAATCTTCTCTTCCCATCTCTTCCTACTTTTATCCTTAGTGTCCTCAATGCATAGCACCCTAGGCAATGCAATGGAGATGAGTAAACATGTGTTTAAAAGGGGCTCAAGTGGAATAGGAATAGGTACCATTTAAGTTGTTGGTTCCTGTATCAAATCAGAGGCATACGCATACAACCATGTCAATTGAGAAGATGCTTAAGACATCATTCCAGGAGCCAATGGGGGAGACCTGAGTACCAGGCGACCGGCTCTTAGACTGGATTCTAATTTTATCTTTTTCTGTCAGGCTGAACACAGCAGTATTAGACAACTGTAAAGTTATTTTTCCATATGTTGCCAATATTTTCTTCCACAATATCACTGGATTTTTAAACTAAGCTTACAGTAATTTTTTTTTGACTAGAAAAATGTTTCTAACTTTAGAAGTTAAATGTTATAGTACTGCTCTTGAGACTTATTTACTCTTGTTAGGAATATGGCTAGTAATTCTCTTCTCCCCTCACAGCCCAGGGTTCAACATATGTTTTTTTAAATTAAAGGACATTTCATACCAGTTCAATGGTGGATTTTGCCATGTACCACCAAAGAGTGACGGTTAATTCCCTGTGGGTTGTTTTACTTATTCCAACTCACTCAGACCTAAACTATTTTAGTTATACTTTGAAAATAATCTCAGTAGAAACCCACTGAGTTAAAGCTGTACAGTAGAGAAAACTTTCTTACCCTCTTTCTAAGTTATGTTTAATCCTGTGGGTGGTAGTAGACTCAATGTAGAGTCTGCTCTGTCTTCAGCAGATGCTTGCCTGGGGAATACCCATTGAAAGCTTCCTGGTTGAGGCTTGCTAGTAACTGCTGTGCTGAGGCTGGGACGTCCCTAAGCCTGTGAACAGACACAGAACCTGAGCTCTGAGGCCTGCAGCCCAGTTTGCACTTGAACTATGAGATCAGTGACAGGAATAACCATTCTCCTGACCTTGGGTAAGTGATCTGGGTCTGAGAAGGGATGCGTTTCGTGTCTAAAGACAAAGGGCAGGTTTGTGCTGCTTCTGCTTCTCCCACTGTGTTTTACCAAACAGCCAGAAAACATTTGCATCTGTGAGTTTCTATGTGTCTTTGTGTTTCTCTAGAGTGTCTGAGCATCACTGTGAGAAGTTTGTCATATCCACTACTCACAGAACATACCCTGAGCCTCACAACTCACAGGCTCTGGGAATTTGGGGTCAATTAAGCCCAAGGGTCATGGAATGTGGCAGTTTATTTTTTGCCTTGTGGCTCTGGAGAGCTCAGTAACAGATACCGGTAATATTTCCGTTATCCTTTACAACACACATGAAAATACTCAAGCATGCGGTATGACCAAAAAGGAGACTTTCAGGAGTGCTTATGAACCTGAACTTAGATGCACCCAGATTTGACAACGCAGAGATAATCTATTGTTTCTCAACCCCACAGGTATTATGGGTGATGCTAAGTCCACACAGCCAGATGCAATGGAGAGTACTGAGGGACAACCCGTGCACCTGCCCTGTGACCACCCCAAAATCAGTACAAATGAGTTCATAACCTGGTATCGACAGATTCCTCACCAAGGTCCAGAGCATGTGATTAACGGTGTAAAAGATAATAAGACTAATGAAATGGCCACTCTGGTCATCACAACAGGCAGAAAGTCCAGTACCTTGATCCTGCCCCAGGTCACCCTGAGAGACTCTGCTGTGTACTACTGCATCGTGAGAGACCCACAGTGGGGCGGATGGGGCTGCACCTGCACAATATCTCCCTGGGGTGGGGGTGCAGGGGAGCAGCAGCAGCATCCTAGGGGTCACTGCATGAGAATGAGCAGATGCTCAATAGAAAAAGAAGAAAGGTAAAGGAGAAACATAAGGAAAAGAAGCGAAGAGAAGATAGTGAGGAAATCAAGGACCGAACATTGAAAGGACATCTAAGATGAAGAAGAAGCAATTACATTATTGAAGGGGCTGTAAAGCTTGCAAGGACACCAAGAGTGACAATTTTAAACCATCAATGAAAAGGAAAGAAAATGACTATTTGCCATGGCTCTTTGTTTAATGAAGTATTCCTTTTTAAGCAAGTCTCACTAAAACAGGTGACAACAACCATTGTTTGCCCCCAAGTCTTGCTTTCTTTGGACCCAGGGAAGTACCCAGGCTCTGGTTATTGCATCATATTAGTTATTCCAGCTTCTCAAAAATTGAAATGAATTTCAGAAACTAATTTATTTGACCTTAAGAAAAATTGGAAATTTTCTTTTTTGTTTATCTGTAGCACACACACTTAGAATAGAGATGATTCGGACAAAGGAGTAACGTGGGCAAATATGTGGATATTAATTTTATTTTTAAAATTTATGTTATAATATTTATATTACTATACAAAAATAGAACACAAATCTTTTCTCATTGTAAAAAGCTTAAGATATTTAAATAAAACATTTCAATGTCTTTTAAAAAGAACTCAAGATATTAAATAAGTATTTAGAGTAAAAACCTGAAAGTTCAAAACTGACCTTCCCCACCTCCATTCCATTTTGCCTTCAGCTCCTATAATACCTGAATTTGACATTTGGAGTGTGTCCTGACAATCACATTTCTCTTCATTTCCAAGGATACTCATATAAATATCTAAATAATTTCCTTAATTAAACTGGATCATATGTTTGTTTTTTGCTGGAACTTGTTTTTATTTAATTACAAAAGGTTTTAGAGATATTTCTTATTCTTAGAAGTAAAATTGCTGGGCCAAAGGATATGCCTATTTGTATTTTGATAGATAAAGGTTGCATTCCAAAATGGCTCTAAAAATCTACACTGCCAACAACAGGATATGAAAAACCAATTTCCCTGCATCCTGGTTAACACTATTAGCAATCATTTTATATTTTAGATAACTTGAAAATATTTCATTGGTATTTTTATTCCTATATTCCTCATTACTAGGGCAGTTTAACAACTTGCCTTTTCCATTGTCACTTTCATAGATTCTCTTTCTCTTGTTTACTTATATAAATTCTTTTGACAATATGAATACTTCTTTGCCTATTATATATGCTGTACATACTTTCTCCAAATACGTTTTATCTATTAAATTTGTTTATCCAACTGTTATGAGAGATATTTTGATTTTTTTTTTTTTTTA